CCCCCCCCATTTCAGATTTAACAAATTGTGACAATCAAGTCTCACAATTTAGTTTTGAAAAAAAAATTTTCATTTTTGTCTTTCTGCAATTACAGGTCGTTACAAAGATTCCATTCCTCCTAAAACACTCCCTCCGTGAATACCAGCACATTGGCCTCGATTGGTTGGTGACAATGCATGAGCGTAAATTAAACGGAATACTCGCTGACGAGATGGGTCTGGGTAAAACTATCCAAACGATAGCCCTGCTAGCTCACCTAGCCTGTGAGAAAGGCAACTGGGGGCCCCACCTGATCATCGTTCCCACATCAGTCATGTTGAACTGGGAGATGGAGTGCAAGAAGTGGTGTCCAGGCTTCAAAATTCTCACGTATTATGGAACGCAAAAGGAGAGGAAAGCGAAGAGGACAGGCTGGACGAAACCAAATGCTTTTCACATCTGTATCACATCTTACAAACTCGTTATTCAGGACCATCAGAGCTTCAGGAGGAAAAAGTGGAAGTATTTGATACTCGATGAGGCACAGAACATCAAGAATTTCAAGTCTCAGAGGTGGCAGTTGCTCCTAAATTTTCAAACTCAGAGGTAAATCTAATTTTAATCAATTTTATGTTTAAATAGCTTTTTATTGTTTTGAATCAATTGAAATTTTATGAAAAATGCTGAGAAGTGAATTGTAATAGTTTAAATTATTATGGTATTTTTTTAACAACAAATTTTTTATTTTTTTTGTGTTTAAAAAATTATTTTCATTCTATTCTCTATTTTATTGAGTTTTTTCATCAATCAAAAATTATTTTCAATTAATAAAGTACATAAACAAATTTGTTAATTCTATAATAATTGATTACATATTTAGTCTAGATAATTATACATCGACAAATTTTTATAAATTTTCTTGTTTTTCACTTGTAATTTTCATTTTTTTAAATCAAATCTCATTTGTAATTCAAAATAATTCATTTTAATTGGCTAAAAAAAATAGTAATAAATTTTTCTTCTCGTATACCCTTTCGGGTCTTTACGATTTGTTCCCTCCCAACCCCCCCNGACAAATTTTTATAAATTTTCTTGTTTTTCACTTGTAATTTTCATTTTTTTAAATCAAATCTCATTTGTAATTCAAAATAATTCATTTTAATTGGCTAAAAAAAATAGTAATAAATTTTTCTTCTCGTATACCCTTTCGGGTCTTTACGATTTGTTCCCTTCCAACCCCCCCTGTACCGCATTCGACGAAGGACAAGAGAAAACCTCATTTTTCACAAATTTTGCCCCTCCCCCCCCCAGCCGGGAATCGAACCCGGGTCTCTCGCATGCCAATCTCACACTCTAACCACACAGCCACCGCCGTCGGAAAAAAAAAAGTTTTAAATGTTAAAATCAGTGATGACAATTTACCGTTTCTGAAGGAACGAGATCCATTCAACTCGAACCTATTTTGTGCTGTTAATGAGGCATTTGTCTGAGATTTTTCCCTAAATAATAAAAAAAAATTATTCTCAGGGTTAAAGCAGCTCGAGATGATGAATTAACTAATTGATTGATTTTTCGATGATTACAGGCGGTTGTTGCTCACTGGTACTCCCCTTCAGAACAATCTCATGGAGCTCTGGTCACTGATGCACTTCCTAATGCCAAATGTATTCCAATCTCACCGAGAATTCAAAGAGTGGTTCAGCAATCCAGTGACTGGAATGATCGAGGGCAACAGCGAGTACAACGAAAAAATCATCCGTCGTCTCCACAAGGTTTGTATTTATTTTGGTACAGTAATTTCTCGCTGCCGACCACGATGAAGGAATCTCAATGCTTTCAATCGTTTTATTATTTATCAGCGAGATATTAAATTTTCTCCATTAAAACTCGTGTGTTGTATTAAGTGGAATTTTTTGCGGCATGCGAATCCTGTCTGGAGATACATCACAATATTTTATCATTAACAAATGATTGTGTCAAAACATTGTTGTTTATTCCATATTTTGGAAGACAAACCAGAAATTAAAATTCTCAATTGTATTGAAATTACCAATAGTTTTGATGATCTCATTACATTCGTTTTGTTATTTATTTACGTGGAATTAATGAAACTTGATGGATTGGTTACATATTGATTTATTTTATTGCAGAATGTTAAGATATATTTTTTGAAGCTGAGGAAATTCTCCCCAAAAAGTGTCTTCTGATATTCTCATCCAGACTGACTTATTATCGAAATAATTTGATGATCAGAAAGATCTAAAAAATGAAATTTCCCATTGAAACGTGATTTCTATGAAATTGAAGCTCATTGAATATGAAATAATCCCATTAAGAGGCAATGGAACTCACCATCGGAGTAAAAATTGGATTCCAAGTTTATTTATCGTCAGACGACTATTTAGCAAAACTCAAATTTTTTCTGTACAAAAAATCCCTGTTGACATTTTGACTTGTAAAGTTATTCATTATCAAGAGGATTAAATAATGAACAAGATGTGGAGAATAGGATAGACTTTTGAATTGGAATTTCTACGAAATGAAAGTTTGTTAAACGTAAAATTGTTGTAAATTTTAGAGGAATATGACAGATTTTTTTTTTTCATTTTAGGAAATCTCTTACGAAATTGTCTAATAAAATTTTAATTTCAAAGATCATAAAAAACACCCAAAACTATTGTAATTCAATTAAAAACCGTCAATTAAAAGAAACTCTCTCCCCAATCCCCAAAAAATCAGATTCCCCTCAGAAAATATCTGAACAAAAAACCCTATTTTCTGTTAAAGGTACTTCGTCCCTTCCTCCTTCGCCGATTAAAATCCGAAGTGGAGAAGCAGCTCCCAAAGAAGTACGAGCACGTGGTAATGTGTAGACTATCAAAACGCCAGAGGTTTCTCTACGACGACTTCATGTCACGAGCAAAAACGAAAGAGACACTAGCCAGTGGAAATCTCCTCAGTGTCATAAATGTTCTTATGCAACTGCGAAAGGTCTGCAATCACCCAAATTTATTTGAAGTTCGACCCACAGTTTCTCCATTCCAAATGGAGGGCATTGAGTTTGTGACGTCATCGTTAGCCTGGCAAGCCCTGGACTACGATCCCTTCAAGCACATTGACCTCAGCTGCTTAAATCTACGTCTAGTCGATCTGGAGGTGACGTTGACTGCTTTTGTAGCACACAGAGTGAGAAAACTTCATACTCCACGTAAATTAATCGAGGAAATTGACAGCCAACCACCACCACCACCCCGTTGTCCCTCTGGAAAAATAAAAATCAATGTTAGACTTTCTAATCAGGCAAAAGCACCTCCCATTACTCCACAAAATTCACAGACTAAGTTGAGAAATTTTGCGGGAATTCTGCCTAATCCTAAAGTTGGAACTTCACCGTTGGTCAAGGGGGGAAATAATCAGGCTAGTCCTGGGCAGGGAGTCACCCTCAAGGTCGCCAGTGGACAACAACTGCAAGGCTATTCTGTGCAACTGGTGCAGCATGCTGGGACTGTTAAAGGTAAAATCAGTTTATCGACGATTCAGTTTGATTTTAATTCAATTTTCGATTGGGAGAATTTTTCTTGTGAACAGAATTGGCAAGTGGAAATACAGATGTCTGTTTTTATTGAGATAATCGATTGTCAGTTTTTTTATTTTTTTATTTTATGCCGCATTTTTCTGAGGAAAAGATGTAAACTCACTTGAAATGGACGGATTGATGAATTGAATTTTTGGTTAATGGGGTTTATCTCCTCTGTAGTTGTAGTTTTAGAAGAAAATGTGGGAAAATATTTTTTGTAGGAAATGCGGTGAGCTTGGAATAAGGTCTGATGCTATTTTCCCCTAGAATCGATCGTTATGGAGATAATTAAGAGTTTATAATGTAAGAATGCACCATCGATCGGTGTTTATACTCGTCACGGTATAATCTGCCTTTGCAATGGTGCTAGATCAAATATCCTCGTACCAGCTTGTACATTAGGCTTCATCAAATGTGCATTCCAGAATCGAGAAGACACTCCTGCATAAAATCCCCTGGGAATCGAAATTTGGGAATTCCTAAATGAAAAGAATTAATTCCACTGCAGAATCAATTTTTGCCGAATATCTTCAAATCTAAAAATTTAGCTAAATTTTCGTCTCGACCTTTTTTTGTAGAGAAAAAGGAAAACTACAAAAGTTTTTCACCATATTTTCGCCATCTTCACTAGATTTGAAGATATTCATGAAAAACTGCAACTAGAACAGAATAGAATTCCTTCTATTCTTAATGCAGTTCAGTTTTTGCTGAATATCTCCAAATCTGAAGGAAATATCAAAATTTTTATGAGAAACTTTCTTATAGACCAAAAAAAAAGCTGCACAAGTGATTTTTATAAAAATCTTGCTATTGCCACTAGTTCCCAAGATATCTCCCAAAAACTGATGTTAAGTTTTCATTTCAGCAGCGGAGCTGTAAAACGGTTTCAATCAATTTGGACTATCGTTCAGTTTTCAATGAATATCTCGGAGCCTACGGCAGATATCAAAATTTTCATTATAATCTTTTTTGTAGCTCTCAACTTGCTGTACAGAGAAGGTTACAACGATAATTTCGCCATCTCCCTTGGATTCGGAGATATTCCTTGAGGACTCAGCTAAGAGTTGGCTCCACTTGAATCATTTTACCCTTTCTCAATAAATACCTTTTTCACCCCTAAAGATACACCAGAATATCCCCTAAAACTTTATCCACCCCTTCACCCCCAGAAAAAAAAACCCTGATTCACTTTTCAAAAACTCTTTTTTCATGAAAATTTTCCTATCTCACGAATTCTTCTTGAATCTTCCAGCAATACCAGTCGGTCTGCCGCACCCCCCAGCGTCATCAGCCACGACGACTCCCCAACGAATAACCATGAGCAATACAAACCTCCGAGACGGTCTCCCCCGTCTAGCCACTCAAACCGTAACCGTGAAGCAAGGTGACTCCCTCCAGAGGATAGCAGTCCCCAGTTTCGCCCAGCTCGTGCAAACCTCCACCGGTCGTCACCTCATAATCACCTCCAACACCCAGAACACAACGACCATGTCCTTTCCAATGGTTACCTCCAGTGGTCAACGCCTGACAGTTCTCTCCCCAAAGCTGACAAATCTCTCCCAAGTTGTGACATCAGTGGGTGGTCGCCCAGTGATGAGGGTTCCCCCTCTGAACGTCACACCCCCTCAGCCCCCAATTCGCTGTGAAATCGTCACCAGGACCTCCAAGGAGTCCTCAAAGAGGCCCTCCAAGGAGCCCCCAAAGTCAGAATTTCACCTCCAAGACCTTGACACCGATCGCTCGCACAGACGAGCCTCAAAACTCCACACGATATCCACAATAAACGAGAGACGCTGTGCAGCATGTCCACTCTATGGTGAGGATCTCTTCACAGCCCTGAGAATTGAAAAACCCTCCTCGAGGTGTCGTTGGCACAACGGATGGCTCCAGTGCACCTCGAAGAAGCTCCCCAAACGACGAAAGGACTACTTCACCTCGACAGAGGCTCTAGCTGAGGCCATTAAGTCAACAGAGCAGATTGTCGAAGAGCTTAAAGTCGTCTTCGAGAGGTTCGTGGTGTACGTACCAGCTGTCAATGCCCCACTCCCCAAGTTCCACGTGTCCCATCCACCTCCTCACAAACTCTGGGCCCAGAAGAGGCTGGAGAACGTCTTGGACAGAGGATTGAGTAATAAAGTAAAGATACTTCATCCCATTGCCAGAGCCATGAGCACCCAGTTCCCAGACCCCAGGTTGATTCAGTACGACTGTGGAAAGCTTCAGAGTCTCGACAGGTTGTTGAGACAGCTGAAGAGTGGGGGCCATCGAGTGCTCATATTCACACAGATGACGAGGATGCTGGATGTACTGGAGGCATTTCTCAATTATCATGGGCATATTTATTTGAGGCTAGATGGAGCCACCAGGGTAGATCAGAGACAGATACTCATGGAGAGGTTTAACAACGACAAGAGGATATTCTGTTTCATTCTGTCTACGAGGTCTGGGGGCGTTGGTGTCAATCTCACTGGTGCTGATACTGTTATTTTTTACGATAGCGATTGGAATCCAACGATGGATGCACAAGCTCAGGACAGGTGTCACAGAATTGGACAGACAAGGGATGTTCATATTTACAGGCTCGTTAGTGAGAAGACTGTGGAGGAGAATATTCTGAAAAAGGCCAATCAGAAGAGATTGCTGGGTGATCTGGCTATTGAGGGGGGCAATTTCACTACTGCTTACTTCAAGAGTTCCACCATCCAGGATCTGTTTGAGGTGGATAACGAGGGTGATGCCAGTGTCAGGATGGCAGAGGTGTTGGAGCAGCATAGGGAGAGGGAGAGGGGGGTTAGAGAGGGAGTCGTCGAGGAGAAGAGTGCCATGGGGGCGTTGGAGAGTGCTCTTGCTGCTGTTGAGGAGGATCTCGATGTTCAGGCTGCTAGGACTGCCAAGGCTGAGGCTGTCGCTGATCTTGCTGAGTTTGATGAGAATATTCCCCTGGAGGACGGCGAGAAGGAGGAGCCACAGATCAGTAAAGCTGAGTTGGAGGTGCAGAATCTGGTTTCACAGGTGAATTATTATTATTCAAAGCAATTTAGTTTTCCAAAGGTACAAAAGATTGTTATTTATTTTGTCTTCTTTTGTTTTGTTTATTTACTTTTTCCGTTTGATGCGTTTATAGCAATTCAGTTGTTCTTTATTTGTTATCATTGTAATTATTGTTTATTTAATTACTTAACGTTCTCGGGGGGTTTTGAGGAGTCTTCTGAGGATGAGAAATTTTTATGTTTGGAGTGTGGGGATTTGGTTCTATGGAATTTATTATGGCTGTGGAATGAGAAATTGAAATAAATAAGCGAAATCATCGGATAAATTAATCAATTTTCTTGCCTTTCAGCTGACCCCAGTGGAGCGCTACGCAATGCGTTTCGTGGAGCTCTCAGAGGGCGCCTTCTCGGCAGCTCAGCTCGCCGCAGCGGAGCGCGAACTTGAGCAACAAAAACGCGAATGGGAGCTGGACCGCCTGCGTGCCCTCCGCGAGGAGGAGGAGCGTCGAATGCGCCTGGCAGACGACGACGAGAAGCCCCTCACCTTCAGCCGTGAGGACTCGCAAAATCAGGTCAATACCCCAAACAATTCAAAACGCCTAAAAAATAAACGCCCAAATCTCCCCCTGCGTCGTTCCCTTCGCCACCGCGACAGCACAAGTTCCACTAGCTCCGCCTCATCCCCCGAGTCCTCGAGCTCCTCCGAGTCCGAGTCCGAGGACTCGACTCCATCCTCCCCAGAGCTACCTCTTGCTGCACGCATTCAGAAACGCTCGGTAGGTCGTCCCCGAGGTTCTGTCGCCCACAAAAATCGTCTAGATCTCAACTCCCCACGCACCAGATCCCGGGGTGACGTCAAGATCAACCTCTGGACCCTCGACGTATCACCCATTCTGCCCCCCTCAAAACGCCCCCACAGAAATCGTTCGCGTCTGAAAATTCCCACCCCCTCGCCCCGACAGAAATCGAAAATCGAGGATAACGACAGCATTGACGACGATTTGACAAATGGCGAAAGCATAATATCGGAAAAAACAGATGATCTAGGCAATTCAGTTGATAATTCCGATCGTTTAAGTGATACTGATGATGATGACAAGAGTTATAACGACAGATTAATTCTAAAATTGAAAGTAGTGAAGAAAAAATCAGACTTTCTCGTCGATAATTCCCCGAAAGCGTCTGAAAAACATTCAAAACTCTTGGACGATGCCCCCAAGACCCCGGATACTCTTGAAGCGCCAGAGGCTGTCCCCAAGTCATCTGAAAAAATTAATGATAATAATGAGGATGAGAAATCGTTATCGAGTCAGACCGATGATATACCCCAGATCCCAGAGGAGAACCACAAGTCTGATTCCTTCAGACGTTCGTCACGCTTCAGTAAACGCCAGAATCACGTTAAAAAATCAAATGATGATGATGACTCGGTGACGTCTGTCTCACCAGCCCCACTGACGAGATCCATGAGGGCACAGTTATCCAAGGCCAATTCAGTTGTTGATTTGACACGTGAGGACACTGAGAACCTGGACATCAATGTACCAACGTCACCATCGAGTCAGACAGACTCTGCGAACGACGTTGAGTTCGTGAAGAGTCGTGAGCCTGAGGTAGACGATAGTATTCCTGATGTCGTTGATAACAAAACGTCTGATGTTGACGAGGTAAAAGACCAGGAGACGAATGAAATTAAAGACTCTGATGAGAATTCCGAGAGATCTGAATCATCAACGTCTTCAGAGATTAAACCGAAGCCCTCGGGGGTGCTGACACGTAGATCAAGGCTGACAGATCCTCCCCTGGAGGAGAAAAAGACGAGGAGGGGCGGGGGTAAGGTTACAGGTGCTCCTGATGTCCTCGAGATATCGGAATCTGATATCAATATTATTAAGACAATTGTGGGGACGTCGAGGATTACCAGGTCATCGGCGAATGCCAAGGTCTTGGATAATGGATTTCTCACTCCTCCCAGCAGGAGGTCTTCGGTGAAGTTGAGTGATGTGAAGAAGCCCCAGGAGAATTCAACGTTTCTGGCTCACAAGAAACGTCCAGACACACCAATGCCTGAGGATAAAAGTAGAAATAGAAGTGTTGACGAATTCAGGAGGGTCAAGGTCCCCAGGAAATCGTCTGTGGAGGGTAGAGACACTTCTGATACTGATTCCAATGGTAATGCCATGGGTGAGGGAGTTGAGGCCAATGAGAAGCCACAGAGAACTGCTAAGGTCGTGGCTATGAGTATCATGAGTTTTGATAAGCACTCGAGGTTTGGGTACAAGACCAGGAGGCAGGATGACAGGAGGAGGGATGGGGAGTTCGAGTTGGGGCAGGGGTTGATGGATGATGAGGAGGAGGGACAAGAGGTCGAGGAGGTCAGGGCTAGGAAGAGCCTGAGGAGGAGGGATAGAGAGTTGATTAGATATCCGGGGATTAAGAACAGTGAGGTGCAGCTGGTGGATATCATGGATGATGAGGATTTGGGGCTCGGGGTCAAGAAGGGGAGGCATCAGCCCGGGGGGGAGAAGGTTAATCATTTGTAAGGGGTGGGGGCGGGGGAGAAGGGGGATTTGGGGTGATGAGTGGTGTAAAAAGGGCTGGAAAAATAGGCAGATGTTCGGGAAATGGAGTTTGGTGAGGTTTCTTGGGGTGAGAATGAGTGGTTAATTCGTTTTTGGGGGATATCTTGGAATTTAAGGGTGATGGGGGGGGATTTTTGATAGAACCTTTTTTGCAAGTCTTGGTTTGAGGTAGAAGGTCTGGATGATGGTTTTCGTATCTCTGCTGGATTTGGAGATATTTTGGAAAAAGTGATGGTGAAGTTTAGTTTCTTTTCTTCGTTGATTTCATTTAACGATCAGGTTTTGCTGAATATCTCTGAATATAAGAGAAATAGCGAAATTTTTGTCGAGAGCTTTTTTGCAGCTCTAGTCTTGCGATATAATGAGGGTCTTAATCAAAGTTTTCGTATCCCTGGTAGATTTGAAGATATTCAGGAAAAACTGATTTCAAAATTTAGGTGATTGGTCTTGCTTCAAACGACGCGATTTCGTTTCGCAGTCAATTTTTACTTAATATCTTCGAATCTAGTGGAAATAGTGGATTTTTCATTCAGATATTTTTTGAAGTTCTTGTTTTTCTCCACAAAAAAGGCCTGAATGACAATTTTTGTATATCTGACAGATCTCGAGATATTCAACAAAACGTAAACATGAAATTGACATTCGTCTCAACAATTCGAATACGAAATAATTCTCTTCATCTTTCGCTTTGCCTCGAATGTTTTTGGAGAAAGGCGAGGGGTTGGGTTTCATTTTTGGGTTTTGAAATCAGAATTTAGATTGTTGAATAACGATTCATCCCACGAAGTTGATAGAAAGGATATTTATTCAGTGAGAGTTGAAATATGAACTGTTTCATTGAATTCCTTATTTTCTTTTCACTGAGAATACTTTCATTTCTTCATCTTGAAATTCATAATGCCATCGTTGCGATGGAATTAGCCCTTTCAAACCCCCAGAAGGATTATTTCTAAACAGAAATAAAAATTGAACAGCCAAGTCTAAAACTAATGAATCGATTTCAATATTCGTTAATTATTGATTTACCTCGCAAACGAGTGGTTTTAGGAAAAAAAGTCAAGAGAGTTTTTTTGTAGTCGATGAAATTGTCTACATGAATGTCTCTTAGCATTTTCGCTTTCACCTACTCACGACAGAGATAGTTGAACTTCATCAAAAAATTACTCCTCTCCTCATCTATTTAATAAATGATGAATCCTTCATGACTTCAATTTCTTCATTCACTCAAAAATAATTCCCTTCTCTCAGCCCCTCCCCCCCTCGGGTCAACTAACTTCCCTAAAACTTCAAAAAACCGTTGTAAAAAGTGTACAAATAATTCCTCTCACCCACCCCCAACATTAATGTCTAATTTCGTCGTCATAACTGTAAATATTACTCCCACCCCTCCCCAAATACCTCGAAAAGCTTTCATAAACGTAAAAAAAATCGTACTATTTTTCATTACCATGTCCTCTTAATTATTTTATTTCTCAATTAATTAGTGACTAGGGGTCCTAACGATAAGATTTTTTGTATAACGAAGAGGAACAAAATGAGCGAGTGAATGAGTGACGGTTGAATCGAGTACTGCGATAATTTATAATTCGTGATATAAGAGATTTATGACTGTATTATAATAGGTTTAGATTTTTAATGAGAAAGAAACAAAAAAAATGTGACAGTAATGAATGCCATAGCTAATTACGCTAAAGGCCATTGTTATATTTTTCGAGAATTTGTTTCATTTTTTTTTTTTTTTTCGAAAAAAAAATTTCCTCCATATTTTTATGTTCCTCGTCGTGAGGAAGACGAAATAATATCATAATTGCGTTATTAATTAGTATAAAGCGGATGTATGTAATTGACTCATTGACCCATTATTATTGTAAAATACGGATGTTTGATCGTTAATTTGTGTGATTATTTTTTTTTTATTGAAAAATGAACAAACGAAAGATACCACGCGAGTACCACGTTTTCGAGATGAAATATTGATAAATAAATGAGATGATGAAACAATTTTTTTCGATGTGTGTTCTCTTATTTCTTGGTGCGTTTCCAAGTGGTTCAAAGGTTCACTTCCGTTTTGGTGTCAAAAAGAAATTTAAAAAATATATATATTCAGAGCAAAAAAATTGTAGATGAATTTTGATCAGTGTGCTTGTTTATGTTTTGGAGGTCTGACATGATAAATTTGATTTTTTTTTCTGTTGATGTTTGGTGTGGCAAGGCCGTCATGACCGCCCAAATTTATTGATTCAGGAAATAATTTTCGGGTTTGAGATGTGGACTTTTTTTTTGAAATTTTGATTATCACATGGCACCAAAACACTTGCCTTTGCCATTCCAAACTTGGAGACTCCCAGGATATAAGCAGGCACATGTTGAGAAATTTTTGGAGGGAGGGGTATGTGGGGAGAGCGAAGTCACCAGAATTTCTGAGAAAATGAGCCTTTGAATTCACGATATTCCTTGTTCCTTGGTTTAGGGGAGTTTTTGGAAAATTTTTGAACGTATAGAAAGAGAAGAAGTTTGTTTTTGGCGAGCTTTCTTTGCTGTCGAGAAGAAGCTGGCATTCCGCTTTGACGGCCGGAGAGTGGGCATATTGAAATTCACCTTAGGGGGTTGAGGTGAATTTCAGTAGCAAAGAGGTAAAACTGTTTGAGTCGACTTATCTCCCAGTTGAGTTTTTGAGGAATATTTCCGAATCTATGGGAGATAGCACAATTTTCGTAATTACATTTGTTGTAGCTCTCAATCGGCTCTACAAAAAAGGTTATAATAAAAATTTTGCTATCTCCCTTAGATTCCGAGATATGCATTGAAAACTGCTCAATAGTCAACATTGACTTGTACCGTTTTACCACTTCGCTACTGATTTGATTCTCAACTCCAGAGGTCCTTGAGGGCCATTCGACCCTCAACTAAAAACAAATTTTAGAAAACCTTTAAAGTTATTTTTCCTGGGGTTTCATTTTGCTCCGGTCTCCTGCAACAAAATGCTGATGCATTTTTATAGGAAATAATGAACGAATTATGAAATCTGTATTAAAAAACTGATAAAAATCGGGAATTTTTTATGTCAGGGAAACCATCAATTCTTTCAATTTCCCCTAATCAATTTTAAATACACTAGAACGATTTTCATTTTTTGCAATTGGGGATAGACAAACAGCCTTAAACATTAATTACATAATTTTTTGTTCATTGAACCTTCGGTTCAGTGAATTGACAGAGAAGATCATTAATAATATTTCCAGAAAAAGCTATTTGGTGGGAACTTTACTGAATCAACTTTTGGGTTTCATTAGTGTTGATTTATTTTTGCTATTGATCGAGAGGGCAAGAAGTTTTTTTGGGGGGTTGATTAAGTCATGGCAGATGGTGCATTCATAGGTAAGTCAGAAACCTGGTCACTCCGCTGTACTCCACAATGAGAATATTGAAATGAGATTATTTTTTGGTGGAAAGGGAGATGCTAATCGGTGATGTTTTATTTTGGAAATATTGCAGGTGTGGCTGTCGGATAACACTATGGAGCAAATGCCTGTAAGTATTTGAATGAAATAATTCTATTTTTCGTTTTTTGAAGATGATTCTCACGCAATTTTTATGCAGGACCATTTTTCCATCAATTCCTCAATTTTTTCAGTTTTAATACATTCTTAAAAAGATGAGTATTTCACGACAATTTTCATACAAATGTTATTAATTTCAGTCGATTTTAGGAAAACTAATTGAAAAAGATGTTTTTTTTTTTTGCAATTGTCAATATTGCTAAGCCTCGTGGATAAACGAGGTATCACTATCAAGGTATCACTAACAGTTCAATATCAAGATTCAAATTCAGACCTGCAAAGTTTAAATAATGAAATCTTTGTAAAATATCCGGAAACTTAGGGTCAAATGGGGCTCAAATGAAAAGAAAAGCATTTCACTGGAGATAAAAATAGTCAAAGTACTTGGATATCCTTAAAACTCCCCTTTAACAAGATTTTCAGCGTCCAGTCTTTTTCATTCCCCTTTAAAATCATCCTAAAACTGTTAAAAATTCCCCCCTCAATATTCTCTTCCCCCAGATGTGGTGGTCCACTAAGCTATTATCACATGACCGAGTGATTTTAGCAAAAAACATTAACATTAAGAACCTTGTTTGTAGCTGATGAATTTTCCCCAACAATCATGTTCAACATTTTCCCCTAGAACCCCCTTTACCAAGATTTTCAATGTCCAGCCTTTCTGATTCCCCTATAAAATCACCCTAAGATTATTCTAAAACTAAAACGACGTCTCCAACTTAAAAAATCACCCCTCAATTCTCTGTTGCCCCAGATGTGGTGTCCACCGACGCCTCCGACCTCCGACAACGATGTGTACATAGACTACTCCCTGGGCTTCCTCTACGAGAACACCCCGATCCCCGAGTCCCAGTTGCCCCCAGTCTACACCAAGAAGGACCCGAAGAGGCCACGAGTGGAGCTCCCAGCGGATCGCGATGGTCGAGACGGTCGCAGACCGACGAAAATCCGTCACAAAGAGGACTCTGTCTACGCCCCCAGATCCCTCTTCGATCGTCCCTCCCCAGCCCTCATAAAAATGCGAAGGGACATGAAGCTCCACAAGTACAGAACCATCTCTCGTCCCTCGATTCAACTTCCAGGATCCAGACCCTCTCTCTCACGCCCCACGACTGAAACGGATCACGTGCTGGAGTGGATGGTCCACGAGGACTGGGCACTCCTCCAGGCGATCCAGGTTTACCAAGGACTCCCCCTGAATCTCGTCATTCTGTCACCTGGACACACCCCAAATTGGGATCTCGTCGCTGACATCGTGAACAACACTTCTAGGATCTATCGATCCCCCAAGCAATGTCGCACTAGGTATGAGACGGTTATCGTACCTCGAGAGGAGGGAAAACTACTGTATGATAACACCCCCAAGAAGCAGAAGAAGCAGAAGGGGGGAATGTACAAAATTCCTCCAATCACTGAAGTAAGAACATTTATTTTTATATCGATATCTTTTTAATTATGGCTAATTGCATTTTAAAATAGTATGAATAGACTGCAATTTAGTTGTTAGGGTAAATGAAATTACGACAAGTTGAATTTTAATAGACGTCAATGGATAGCTCTCATTGAAATAAAAAAAATCCACAGAATAAATTTGCAAAATAAAAAATAATTCTCTGTATTCAGACAAAAAATTATACTCATCACGAAAAAAATCATAAATTGATCGAAAAAAAACATGAACTGTCTCAATTACTTTCAATTTGATTGACACATAATTTACGTGTTCCTCTCATTTACTTGTCCTTCTCCAAAAATCAGCAACAAGTCAAAGCGAACAGGCCTGTGCGTACATGTCAACTTTACAATCAAGATAAGAACAACTCCTTCACGATGATGTGCTGTCAACGTTTCGATACCATCAAGACAATTGGCAATAAACGTACAACCGTGACAAAACCAGCTGTTGTCAATCCCATGATGAGGAATCCCAAGCATGCAGCTGTATTGGCTGAGAATGGAGTGCAGTATGACAGTCCACTAGCACCTATTGACGTTGCCACTAGACGAGCTGAAAGAATAGCTAAGGAGAAGCAGAAGAACAATGTCAATACCGTGAGTTTCATCAAATCATACTTCATTATTCCCTGCAATCATCATTTTCAAATCGAAACAGAAAATTGCATGAATTTTTTTTACAACATCCAAGCGATTGCAGACCTTCCATTCGGAAGCAATAACTATGAAATATCCCCATTCATTCTTTGAACGAGAAAGCTGATGAAGCTTTGACGACTAGTCCAAAAATCATCAAGTCCAGGCAAACTAAAAAACTCATTCCGTGTCCTCAAAATCTTCCCTCAAAAAAAATCTCTCACTAAATCCCCCTATCTCTTTTTCTTCATAGCTATCTCTCAGATGATCTGCATCATCTCAAGCATCATTTCAAGTTCGCCCCCCCCCCCCCCCCCCCC